TCCTCTTTTGAATTTTTACTTCCAACTTTAGACTTCTGTCTTGAAGGTAGCATCGTGTTTGGGTGTGTTAGGTCTTCCCAGAAATGGACACCAAGATGGGGTTATAGGCTGGCCAAAGTCATTCATGCCTATACTCCCAGCAATTTGGGAGGCTGAAACAGGTGGATCACGTGAGCCAGGAGTTTGAGACCAGCCTGGGAAACACAGTGAGTCATCTTTTTATAGCTGGAATTAAAGGTACATGCCACCATCCCCATCTAACTTTGTATTTTTAGTAGAGACTGGGTTTCACCATGTTGGCCAGGCTGGTCTTGAACAGCTGACATCAAGTGATCTGCCTGCCTCAGCCTGAGCCACCAGGCCTGGCTATATATATTTGGGTAGAAATTTATCTCTAGGATTTGGTAAGAGAGGTTCCTTTTAGAAGAGCAGTGGGAGAAAGGGAAGATACCTGACTTTCCATTACAGTCATTCCTCGTACCTACGGGGGATTTGTCCAGGACCCCGCCTCCCCTGAGTAGCAACATCCTCAGATGCGGAAGTCCCTTATGTAAAATAGCACAGTACACTTTATTTTATTTTTTGAGATAGAGTCTTGCTCTGTCACCCAGGCTGGAGTGCAGTGGTGTGATCTTGGCTTACTGCAACCTCCACCTCCCAAGTTAAGGCAATTCTCCTGCCTCGGCCTCCTGAGTAGCTGGGATTACAGGTGTGTGCCACCATGCCAAGCTAATTTTTGTATTGTTAGTAGACGTGGGGTTTTGCCATGTTGCTGAGGCTCATTGCAAACTCCTGAGCTTAAGCAATCTGCCCACCTTGGGCTTCCAAAGTGCTGAGATTTTAGGTGTGAACCACTGTGCCCGGCCAGCTGTGAATCTTGACATGCTGAATTGCATAAAGTCTAAACAGAACCACTAGAAATTTCTGTAGAATTGATCTCTTCTGACATGCAACAAGTGGAATATCAGGGAAATGCAATTTGGCCAATCTAAAGGCTCCTTCCATATTATTAATCTAATATAACACTTTAGAAACATACTTTAGGCCAGGTGAGGTGGCTCACGCCTGTAATCCCAGCACTTTGGGAGGCCAAGGTGGGCGGATCATGAGGTCAAGAGATTGAGACTATCCTGG